CGACCCGCCCGCCGGTCTGAGGGGGCGCGCGGTAGGCGGCCCGGGGCTCCCCGCTCGGCTGAATTCGGTGGCCCTGCAAGTTTGAGCCCTTTGAGTTTTTCGGAGAAAAGGCACTGGACAAGGCATTTATCATCCTCTTTATAATTTTGACGACTTCTCCTCCTCCTGCCGACCCCAGGGCGCCCCGCCGTCCCCTCCGCCCTCCCAGCTCGCGGCCGCCCAGGTGGCCGCCCCGCGCCGCTGCCTCTGCGCGGAAGATGCTCGCCTGGGCAGAGCCTGGGTCCGGGCAGAGCCTGGGTCCGGGCCGCGGCCGCCGCCGAGAGACTGTCATTTCCCCGGGCGGAACCCGCAACCCTCCCGCCTCCGCCTCCGCCCCCGGCCGCAGAGGGACCGACGGGATGGGGGCCTCCGGGTACGGGTTAGGAGCGCGGAGGGCTGTCCACCTGGGTCTGGGGGCGCAGAGACACCCCCGCCTCGCCCAGCGGCCAGGACCCGCGGCCCGGACTGCACTTGAGCCACAGTGCCCCGGGGCTCCAGCGTTTGGCTCCTCGGGCCACCGGGCCCCGAGCTTGCGCTGAGCCCCTCCCGCAGGGTTGCAAAGCCAGAGGGACTCGATGCGGCTCCGCTCAGTGCGGGGACAGGAGATCTGAGCTCTGGGCCGGCGGGACCGCGGCGGGGAGCGTGGGAGCGTGGCCAGGGCGTCAGGGTCCCCCCATGCGACGCGGCGCTGGGCTTCAGCCCCTGCGCGGAGCGGTGCGGCGAACTTAAGGCGGCGGCGGCGGCGGCGGCGGGGAACTCAGAAAGAATTTCAGTTTTTTCCGTCTGTGCGCAGGACCGGGCCACGGGAGCGTCCGCAGCGGCTCCCTGGTTCTTTCTAAGTCCGAGCTTCCCCCTCAGAATCGCAGAGCATCCAAATCCGTGGGGATAACCAAGGCGCGCAGCCCGGGGGCGGAGTAGGGCGCCCGCCTGCAGCCCCTGCTGTCCCGCATACACTCCTGCGCCTCTCTGATGCTTTGGCCGGCGGCGGGGTGGAATCCGCCTAGCCGGTGTCCCAGGGCCCCACAGCCTGCATCCTCCCCGCTCCCCACATCTTCACCCCTTCCCCGCCTCCCCCTGAGGCAAGCGTCCAGCAGCCGCATGGACCCTGTGATCACTACCCTGCTGGGGACAAGGTGCTTGCTGGGAGACGTGGCCCCTGGACAGGGGGCTCACCACATCTCTGGGGCCCACCGCATCCCAGGCGCCCTTGGAGAAGTTCTCAGGGAACAATGGCCCCACCCGGGCCTTTGTTGCAGGTCCTCGAATAAAAGCACGCTTGTGCCCAGAAGGAATGGCGTCAGGAGAGATTTAAAAGTTCTTACACGGGTGGGCGCCAGGGCCTCACCCGACCTCCACCAGCTGGCCTGTATCCCTCCGGCTGCAGCGGACAGGTACCTCTCACCCAGGCCCCATGCAGCAGGTTGGAGTGACATCCTCGATATGCTGTGTGGGTCATATCAGGGGTCTCCAGCCCCCAGGGTGCTGACCGGCACCAGTCCGTGGCCTGTTAGGAACTGGGCGGCACAGCAGGAGGGGAGCGGTGGGTGAAGGAGGGAGGCTTCGTCTGTATCTGCAGCCGCTCCCCAGGGCCAGCATCACCGCCTCAGCTCCGCCTCAGATCCTCAGGCGTTAGATTCTCATAGGAGCACCGGCCCCTGCTGCCAAAAAGGTTGGGGCCGCTGGATTATATCATCGACCCGCTTCATCAAGGGCCCCAGCTGTCCCCACTCCTGGGCTCCACTGGCACCTTGGAACAGGCGGTGTAGCTGGAGAGCTCAGACTGGTGTCTGCAACCCGGATTTGAATTCCAGCTCGATCACCGTGTGTGGTCTTGGGCAAGTCACTGAATCTCAGCGGTTTCATGAAACTGGCTGGCAAGGTTGTTGAGAGGCTCCCGTGAGCTCCGCGGCCTGCGAGGCCGCGGTACCTGCACAGAGTCCTGTGCAGAAATGTTAGCTTTGTTACCTGCCCACTTCCGTTTCAAACTCCTGTCCCTGGAGAAGCGGGCCCTGATGTTCCACCTTCTTGACCTCCGGCCCAGCAATTTCTCTCTCCCCACTTGGGTGTGTGTTTCCGCTTCGGACAGGCCGGTGGGCGCTGAGCCCTGTGCTCTGTGGGAGGCTGAGGGAGCAATGTGCCTTCCCAACTCTTCTCAGGTATCCTGGAGATTACGGCCGTGGAGGTGGGCGTCGTGGCCATTAAGGGGCTCTTCTCTGGACGGTACCTCGCCATGAACCGGAGGGGGCGGCTCTATGCCTCGGTAAGTCCAGTCTCTCGTGTGGGTGGGCTGGGATGGAGCAGCCAGCTCCTGTGAGCATCCCATAGGGGGACAGAGGGCACATGGGCAATTTAACGCTTTGCCCAGGGACATCAAGAACTGAGCTGGGACCAGAAGCCCAGCCCCTGGGACTCCATGCCCGGGGTTCTTTCGGCTGCTTTTGTCAGAGGCAGCTGCCAGCTTGAGTGGCTTGGAGAGTGTCCCATGGGGAGTTAGCCATGTCCTACGTTCTCCAGGGCTGTCAGGTTAGAAAATGGTCCTCTGAACATCTCGTGGTCACTGCCATTGCCCTTCCCCCAAGGTAGCTGAAAGCAGGGGAGAGATTGTCCCTCGAATTTCTACCGAAATAAGTGGACCCAGACAAACCTTGGGGCAGAGCAAGGGTGTGCCCCGGGCCAGAGGTCTCTCATGGGCTCACCCGGAGCATGGGGACGGCGGAGCCGGGCGGGATGCGGCCAGCTCTTAGTTCTCAGGAGGGAACCCCGAGGAAAAGGAGATGGGACCCATGTCCCAGGCACACAGGCTTGGAGCCCAGTCTACCCACTGCTTGGGTTTCCACAGCAACAAAGTGTCCTGCGACTCCGTGGGTGTTGGCAGCGCCCCTCCCCCAAGGGCAGGGACGGCAATGCATGAAGTAAAATACATGTAACTAGGAAATTTGCTACTTTTAACTAGTCATTACATGCAATTCGGCTGATAGCTTCTTGGGCAATGAGAGGTTCTTCATGCACACGTGACCTAGACGGTGCAGCCCGAGGCCTCGCCTGCAGGGCCCTCCCTGCATCTGTGGGCAGGGGAAGCCCACCGCCCTGCCCTGCCCTGCCCCGCCCCCTTCGAAGTCAGGCGGAGGTGGAGAAGAGGCAGGAAAACCCGCCTTTGAGCGAATGATTTCATCACAGATGCTTCGCTGTTTTGCTACGGGAAATGCAAAAGTCGGAACACACCCCGTTAGTCCTCTCTGACCCCGGGGTCCCTTGATAGACGCTGTGTCTGGGGGGAGGGACCCTCTGGTGCGCAGTCTCCCCTGTGTGTGCTTCTAGTGTCCCCAGACACCAGCTGTGGTTTATCAGGACACTCCCCAGGCCGGAGCCTGGTCTGAGTTTTTCTTGAGCTGGACTGTGGCTTTCCAGACCCTCTGGCCTTGAGCCCCTGGTGCCAAGTGAGCAGAACTGACTTTCTGTTCTTGAAATGGCCTCAGACCTGTCCCTGATGGAGAGAGGACAGCCAGAGAGGAGGTCTTGTTGGCCTGCAGTCATGGCCTAGTCTCACTGACCACAGAGAGCCTCCCGCCCACACTGGGGACATTCAGAGTGGGACGGGAAGGGCCAAATTGAGACGGGAAACTTAAGGCTTCTGTCATGTCTTCCGTGGGGGACCCTGGCCCAAGGCTTTGGGAGACAGAACAAAGCATGGCCTGAGCAAGCCTAAGGGGTCAGAGTCCACCTGTGGCTTCTGTCCCCGAGAGCTGACGACACTGGCTTTGCAGAAGGAGGTAGGGAGGTTCCCGGCCTCACGGGGGATAGCCAGGAGGTCTAGCTGGATGGTGTGGAACTTTCCAGAGGGCCCAGCAGGAAAGCTCTCACTACCCGGCAGAAATCTGGAAGGTGAGGCAGCCAGGTGGCACCTTGTTGCTGCCACCCCGCACCCCCATCCTAGGCACGGCCAACTTGCTCGCGAGTGCTGTTCGCCTGCCCGGCCTGTCTGGGTGCCCTAGTCTTCGCAGTCAGCCCGTTTTTACCTCCCAGGCCAGCTCATCCGCCCCTGTGGCTCAGTGTCCATTGAGCCCTGACAGTTCCCAGTTCCAACCCTGACCCCCCGCTCTGAGTTATAGATCACCCCCCGGAAGTCCCGAAGGCTCAGAGGCCCTGGCAGAGGGCAGCCCGCCCCAACGGAGTGTAGCATCTCCCTAAACTCCCGCCTTGATTATTTCCCTGCCAGCCACTCACTCAAGCCCAAGGTCAGCGGGGAGTCACGGCGGACACCTCCTTCTCTGAGCCCACATTCTGTCCACCTCCAAGTCCTAGACTACAGCTCCTGACTTCCTCCCTTCCGCCCACACCCCTCGCCCCGCTCTGCCTTATCCTCTTGGCCAACGCCCTTATGAGGCCCTCATGAGCTCTCACCTGAATCATCACAACCTTGGGACAGGGCTGTGGCCTCCGGCCTCTCCCTCCTTCAATATATCCGTCTGTCCATCCGTCTATCTGCCCGTCCATCCATCCATCCAGCCAGCCAGCCATCTCTCCATCTATTCCTCATCCAACCATCCATCCATTATCCACTTATTCATTCATTCATCCACCCACCCACTTACCCAGCCAGCCATCTCTCCATCCATCCATCCATCCATCCATCCA